AATAATATCATTTAATATTAAAATTCTATTTTTTTTTTAATCGAGACTAATATATATTATCCTCTAGTTAGACGCTTTAGAATTTAAAATTTGTTTAGTGGGAAATTATCTTAAATACTATAAAACTTAGGAACCATTTATTTTGAAAATTAGAAGTTCAAGGGATCATATGGAAATTAACCTATTTTTAATGGCATTGAACGGGAAAGACTAACGGATTAACCTATTTTTAATGGCATTGAACGACAAAGACTAACGGCCACTGACATTTAAGGGCTGATTTTTAACGCTCGATTTGTTTGAGAACTAGTTTGTTTCTTTGCACATAAATCCTTCTTTTACCCTCAGTGCATAAATCTTTCTTTTACCTCCATTAAAATTGCTTTTAGCTTTAAGCCCTGTTTATTTATAAATTGGTGTGTGCTTTGGATCAGGTGGTGGTTTGGGGATTTCTTTGCTGCATTCCAAGTGATCTGACGGGTTGTCGTATATTGGAAGAGGAGCGCATTCATCAAATTAACAATGCAGTGAGGGTATATTCTCTAGGAATAGTGCTTTTGAGCGCTTCAACCTAGACTACTCTAATTACCTTTTTTTTTTTTTCTTATAAATTGACTCTAATTTTATTGTTTATTTCATCTGTAGTTATTTCATTTGCATTGTTAATTTGTTGTACACTTTCTTTGTTATAATATTTCTTGGTTTCAGGCTATTATTTTCCAACAATATAACACTAAAAAATATGAGCAAGCGTATTCCCCATATAAACAGATGCTTGAGAAATAGCTAGCGTATTTCTCTTTGGGTTTGTTTGAGAATAATATCCATTTTCTTGGTACATCCACATGATTTTTATTGAAAAACTAATAAATACTGAATGAACGGGGAAAAAGGGAAGTTGATAGCAGCAAAGTCAATAGTGGAGATTTAAAAGCTAATGAAACCCTTCTCCTTCAAGCATTCAATAGTGTCCTTGAGACTCTCCTCCAAAGGAATGAAGTTGACACCCAAGCTCTTAATTTTCTCTTTGGATATTTGGAACACTTCTTGAATAGGCTTATCCTCAAATCTATAGAAACAACAAATCAGTTAGATTGTAAAAACATAAGATGATATCTGATGTAGTACTGTCATTGTGAAAAATAAAATTGAAATTCAACTTACTTTTCATTGAGGTGGAACACAGGGAAAAGTCGATGCAAGATCTTCCACAACTCAGTAACATCTATGGTGCTTTCAACCATGCAATATCTGCCAGTAGCTGAAGGAATCTCAAATGCTTGAATATGAGCATGTGCAACATCTCGAACATCCACAAATGCACCATATGATGGGAGTTCCCGTCCTGCATACAAAACACTTTTCAGCACAGACCAAACTATATTATAAACGTAACAATTGCTACCATTCCCCAATATTACTGCAATTATATATATATATATATATATATACTGGTAATTAATTACCAGTGACGATGTTCAAGATGAGCTCCACAGTGAGATTAAGGGTTGGCTGTAGAATAGGACCAATCACAAATACTGGATTTATTGTAATCAAATCAAGCCTGTTCTCCTTTGCAAACTTCCAAGCAGCCTCTTCAGCTAATGTCTTTGAAAGGACATACCAAAGCTGATAATAATACACATATACTACTACTTTTAGCCATTTTTATATGTTCAAAATTCATATTGTGTGTACATATATATATATGAGAGATAAGTGTGTATCAATCTTAACTCTTAAACTTATATTTACAAATTGAAATTTTAATTCAAAATTAAAAAATTTATCTAATTAAATGTTGATATTTGAATTTAGTTACTAATTATATAATCTAATATAGTTAGTTTTCAAATCCAAATTTCAATATTTAATAAAATAAATTTTTAAATTTTAAATTAAATTTTAATTAAATAAATAACATAATTTAAAATTTTAATTTTAATTTATTTTAAAAATCAAAAAAATTAACATGTACTTTTCTATATATACATGTATAAAAGACAAAGTAAAGGTAATGATAAATCATATATACACCTTAGCTTTCTCACAGAAAGCTGGATCAGAAAACCAAGTCTCATCAACTACCACGTCCGGAGTGAGTGGTTTTTCATTGATTAAAACTGCAGCCGTCGAAGATGTCAGAACTACTCTCTTTGTTGATGCAACTTTTGCACATGACTTGAGAACATTAAGTGTTCCCTTCACCGCTGCATCTATTAATTCCGCCTGAAATTGGAATTGCCTTTTTATTAGATTTAGATCCATCAACGACACAGTTACAGAGAAACACAAATATTAAGAGATGAACCTGGTAATCAGGATGATCAAAAAACACGGGGGAAGCTGTGTGAAAAACACCATCACACCCATCCACTACACAATCAAAACTCCCTTCATCTAATAACTCTGCTTTGAATAAATGAAGTCTTTCCTTAGCTCCATTGAGGGCGAGTAAGTGCTCTGTTTCTTTCGGATCATCTGTCACACAATTCAAAGATTAATTGAAAAAATAAAGACAAGAGTTTGTATTTATATGGTCAAATGTCAATGTTTAGTCCTAAACTTTCAACTTTAAATATTTTTAGTCCTTAAATTATTTTTTACACTTTTTTGTTTTTAAGTTAAGAAAAATGCACTTTCTTAATTCCGAACTAAATTGTTAGAAGGATTTAAAAAAATGTACATTTTTATAATTTAGGAAAAAAAAAGGTGTAAATTATAGTCTAAAATTATAATTATTCAAAATTTAAAAATAAAAATTAAAAAATGGCATTTATCCTATTCGTATTCATGGTGGAAAACTGGAAAAGAACATACTTGGGTCACGAATGGTGGCTTTAACGGTGTACCCACGATCGAGGAGAAGCTTTACAAGCCATGATGCTATGAATCCCGAAGCTCCAGTCACGCACACTACCTTCCTTTCTCCACTCATGTCTTTATGAGATTGACTTTATATTAGTGTAGGCAATAATTCTATGTTTGAAAATTAGGCCAATAAGAACAATTACACAAAAAAATATTTGTATTAATATGAAATTTATACTAAGAATTTAAACAATCTCTCACTTAAAGGTTTGAAGTTTTCTATGAGATTTAGACGCAATTAAAGCAATGTGCCTGTTTTATACTTATAGGCAAAGAGTAGGGCATCTTCAAAGGCATAGATAAAGATGCTTAACTTT